TAACGACATGTCCAGAGATCAAAGGTTTCCATGGTGATCCACATTTCAAAGCTAAGCATGTCAAGGAACTTGAGCATCTGAAGTGGACTTTTTGTGTACTTTCTGGTTCATAATGTGGCCTTTTTGGCAGATTAACTAAAGGTGTGCGGCTGCTGTGGTAGGGAAAGATGAGGCTGAACTTACAATGGGTTTAATGGAGACATGTTGAAAGTCTTTGTCACTTCATGCCCTCAAGAGGCATTTTGTTTAATTATTTTGCTTATTATTATTTTTTTTCAAGCTACGAGATGTTTTCCTACGTTTCTCATGAAAAATTATGTCTCAGGAATGTAGGGTTTGGGAATTATGGCAGGTTTAAAAGAAAATATGAAAGCAAAATTATATCTGTCCTCCACTCTAGCTGTGACATCACGCACTCTAAAATCTGAAGAAGGCTTCTTTACCAAGGTCTGAACAATGTTTAATATCTCTAAAAGTACGAATCAGATTTAAAAGTTGTGTTACACGAATAATGTCAGAAAGATGTGTAACATTTTAAAGTTGGAATGAGGTTTCTGAGTGAAAGTATGAAGGAACAGTTAGCAGTTGAAGTCGCATGAAGATTTTTCAAGTCTGAATCAATCAATCAATCAATGTTTATTTATATAACCCAATATCACAAATGTTACATTTGTCTCAGTGGACTTCACAGTTTGTACAAAATATCAGTATGACAATACGACACCCTCTGTCCTTAGACCCTCACATCGTACAAGGAAAAACTTCCGAAGAAAACCTGAAGAGTTTCTCCATTGACTTTCATGTTAAAAATGTGATGAATTATGGGATGTATCACTGGAATTATGAAAGTTATGAATGATATAAGTAATAGCCATCGATTCCCGACCGAGCTGAACGTTTTGATGTTTGAACGGAGTTTCTGCGATGTGGAATGTGGGAGAAGAAGAGGTGCAAAATAACCCGGCGGAATAATAAAGAATTTCGTGCGCAGCATAACAGATAGTTGGAATGCTGTATCAGCATTCCAACTAAATGAGTATCTGTTTTATCAAACAAACAGATATTGAAGTGACTGTTATTTTTGTATATATTGATTGTTGTGCTTGTATTTAGGTCTTAATGTGTGCAGGTATACATTTGTCTTTGATTGTGTAGGGATATACATATTTGCATACATATTTTTATATATATATATGTTTTTGTATTTGGGATTGTGGGAAACGATATTTCGATCTCTCTGTCTGTACACACAAACTGAAAGATTGACAATAAAGTTGACTTTGACTTTGAGATTCACATAGCAGGCAGATATTGAAGAGAATAAGCATACTATTCCAATTGTGCAAACTTAACAAAGTACGTGTCCAGACTTGGAAAATGAATCAATAATTAACAAAATGTTCAATCACCATCCCTCTTTTTTGCTGGTCTGGTTGTCGTCTTTGATGTCCATGAAGCCAGCAGTCTAATCTGTGTGAGAGGCTCCCGAGCAGGGTGGGGGGGGGGGAGAGAGGTTAAGAGCCGGTTTACCAACGCTGCATGGCCACTCGCTCCTGTGATATCCAGGCCGGCACTCTTAACACTTCAAAGGCTGGACTGACTTCTGAAGAAGCATTGGCCTTTCAACTTCTGGCGAGGTCAGCTGGTGCCTGGGTCTTCCCACACATCTGCACGTTATCACAGCTGCAGGCCACAGGGGCTACACTGCACACCCTGCACACTGTACAACCCTTCCCCCTCACCACCATCCACACCCACCTTCACTCCCCTGGGATTATCTGCTGTCCATATGGGAACTCAATTGGTCTTACAAGAAGATTATAAATGACCATCACTCTTTTTGTAATGGTCATTCCTGTTTTTTTGGTAAATTAATAGTTATTAGGTCATCAAAAATGAGTCCTTAAAGTATAATCTGGTGTATTTGTGTTTTCTAACTTTCTGTTTCGGACACTTTTTGAATTGGAAAACCTCTCACATATGATAATTTAGCCATTGTTGAACAGATCTCTTCTCTGCACCACAGAGAAACTCTATTTGTCACAGGAAATAAACAGCAGTCTCCTAGATTTTTGTATCTATTGTGCTTCTCCTTTTAGCTCTACAGCTTTCTAGAGACGGTTGACCTGGCTCTGTTTTTGATTTGAATCTGCGGTTCTCCTCGCCCACCTGGAATTCAAGTCAACATTTATGCAGCATGTAAAGAGTGGAGACTTCAGGCCAAACAGAGATGCTGATCCCCATTGATTTCCTGGGAACTCCCACTCCTTTTACTTTATTACAGCGAGTTAACTTGACCATTTATGTGATTATCTTCCATTGTATATACTGTAAAGGTAAGGAAATAAGTATTTGATCACTTGCTGATTTTGTAAGTTTACCCACTAACAAATAAATTAACTGTCTATAATTGTAATGGTAGTTTTATTTTACTAATGAGAGATAGAATATCAAAAATAAAATCCATACATTGACATTATATAACAGATACAAATTGATGGGATTAAGATACATATAATGATTAATATTAGTTATTGGGCAGCTAATGAGTCAGTGAAGTTTAGCCTGACAAAATATGAACTTTTAAATGTTTAATATGCATTAAACCATTTTTTATGTGACACCCCATCATCTGTTTAACTTACATATACATTTGTATATTAAAAGTCACTGATTTTGGTAGAGAGCTGTCAAAAGTAACATTTACACTCTGGGATATGTCCTACACTCTCCGGGGATGTGACGTGGTGACAGGTGTGTGTTCAATAACCTTTCTAGGAGAACATAATAGGTTGATGTCTTCCTATAATTGCATACTGTCCAGAGAAAAGGAAGGCTGGTGTTGTTGTCGGAATAGACCAGTGATCCGTAAAAGCCCCGACAGAGCTCTGATAATTAGAGCCTTTCCACCTCAAAAACTCCCAAGATACAGTCTCACTACTGCAGAAATCGAATGAGGGGATGCTTGAACTTAACAGTGATTATACCTTGGGATGAAATTACGTTTATTTTCCATTAGGGCTGTTCAATCAAGCAGAAGTGGCTGTTGAATCAGATTTCATTTTGATAATTACTCTCTGCTGCAAATGCTATAACTTTTTAATAACATGGTTATTTTGCACAAAGGCTCCAGACCTATTACTGTTCATGTACAAGTGTTGGCTTGAATATATTATATTTCATTTTTTAAATTATATTTCTACCCTCTTTGTTCAATTTAAATGTTATACAATATTTTTGGAAATTATAATGTTCATATGTTTAACATTGTTACCTTTTAAAATGTACTTCTGTACTAAACCACTGTACTACTAATTTTCTTAATCAGAGATTTATTTATTTATCACTAGTAGTACATTTTCTCTTTTATTGTGTTCGGAAACATTACTCTTAACTTTTTATACCTCTTATTTTACATATTTCTAAACAATAAAGGCACAACACACACATTTAACACTGTTTTGACTGTAATTCTTTGCAAATTACAGTTTTTTTCATTAAACTTTTCCCCTACATTTTAAATGTATTTCTTTCTAATGATGGAACCATTAAATAAAGCGTAACCAACCCTTCTGAACTGCATTAAGCTGATCATTTGATGAGTGCCTAACATGAATGAAATCCACACACTTGCAGATGAGCAATTTCCATTTGTGCCAACATGGTCTTTATTTAATAACTTGCCAAAAGCAAAGTGTATAAAAAAAACGAATCAATGACACACAACAGGTCACTGAGTCCACAAAGTTCCTTTTAGAGGACAAAAAAGTGCAGGTAATTAAAGCTTTTCGTAATAGTTTACATAACTGAGTTACATAAGTTAATAAGTATGTACATAATGACAGTCACGGCCATTCCTTACAGTGGTTAAAATTAGAAGCAAATTCCTCATCGTTATTTAGAAAAATACCTTCTAACCTGTTAAGCCCCAAGCCTGTTTTTCAGGTCTCAGGCTCGAAAATGACATTTCCAGAACAAATGACTATAAGTACACTTCTAAAAGGGGAAAATTAATAATCTTTTTTCTCAAAGTAATGATAAACATGTGAGTTGGATGTAGAAGAGTCAGAGCAATATAGATGTTTTTTATTTGAAAGAAAATTCAGATTGAACATAGTAAAAAACTGTAAATCATAGTGTCCGTCCAAAACTTATTTTGTACTTATAGTGAAAACTACCCTTGGATGATGGGTTAGTGGACTAAAAGATTTAGTAATCCAAAGTAAAACATATAATAAGTACCCTGTATCAAGGTTGATGCAAAAAAAGTGACATTTGACCTTTTTAGAGAGGTTTAGCAAAAAAAACTCCACCTCTGGTCATTTGGGTCGAAATGGGCGTTTTTGCCGTTTCTCTGGAACCCATTGGTCGATTTTGATGATTGACATCTCTTTGGAACCGTTAGAGCCAATATAATCGAAGGGGGGTTTCCACATACACACCAACGTTACCATGAAGAAGTGGGGGCTATGCGCATGCAGTTTGCCAAAAGCGAAACCTATCTTACACTCTGAAAACTTAAAAGTAGGTTTATTGCTGATGGATTATCAGAAATCATTTCAAAGTGACACAGACACATTGGATTAACCTATGGATTAACCTTCAGCAGCGTTTTTATCGTTTTAATGCCATTGAAGACAACTTTTGATCAGACAACAACAAAGGTAAGACAATATTGCCGTGTTTGCTACCTAATGCCACGTGTTGTGATATCTGTTTTTGTTTCTAATGTCGCGAGTTCTGATCATGGAGTGATGATATAGATACCTATCGATTCTGTGTATTCTCACGATGCTAATCGATATGTTGGATGTGCAGTTACGATAAGTAATAAGGGTGTTATACCGTGAGTTCTGTGCTAACGGCGTTAGCATTTTTTCACTCAGGGCTAATTCAGAGGCTCAAAGTGAGCCTTGTGTTTTTTTTTGCTAAAAAACAAACAAACCATCAGTTAGTTGAGTTTCTTCCCGTTACATGGATATGAAACATTCATAGTTTATTAAATCTTAAGAAGCCCTCAGACACTATTGCTTGCAGATGTTGTGGTTTCGGACCCACCGAAGGGTCACTGGGGCTTAAGAGGTGTGCTAATATACTGTCATTTATGGTTGATTTCATGATGGTCAAGGTGATATTTATAGTATTATAATAAATTGAAAGCCCCCCAAAAAAGGGAAAATGAAGCATCCTGTTTAAATTAATCCACATTGTTATTCTTCAACTCTAACTCCACTGACAACATTTCAGAGGTATATGAAAGAGGTCCAACCCTTGAAGTTGACCCCAGTCTGATCGGAGCAGATGTTGTTTTTAATTCTTCCTCAAACAGTCATTGTGTTTCCATGCGGCTCTCTCTGGACCTGCGAGTTTGGAGCTGCCTGGCGGGCACTCTGATTGGCTGCTTGTTGAATCTCTCCATTATTTCTTTGATCCGTGACAGATTTGTGCGGCCAATGAAGAAGTTGCAGGTGGTGGCGCCCATCTCGTAGCCCACCTCACACTTCTTGCTGCTGAGGCTGTAGCCCTCGGCCCTGGCTGTGACCCTGTACTCCCCGGGGTTCAGCAAACGCCAGTAATCGCCATCAGAAGCTGTGAACACACAGACAAATAATTATTTCTGCACTCTTGCACTGCTGTGTCGGGGTATTGCATGCTCAAACTAACATCTAGTTTGCCACACTGAATTTAAAGGTCACCTATTATGCAAAATCCACTTTTTCATGTCTTTTAAACATGTGTCCCCTCTGTGTAAAGAGATTCTGAAAGTTGCAGGAAAAAGATTCTCTCACTTTTTGTCCTGATCCATTTCTATAAAAACCTGTCTGAAAATGAGCTGATCAGATTTTGGCTACTTTACGATGTCATAACGATGTTTTGGCTTGTGTAACCATTAGCCAATAAGCAACCAAGGTAACCCCCCCCCCCACCTTATCACCTGAAACACCTTATTTTAATTTAAAGTAAAAGACAAAGAATCAGCACTTTTGAAACAGGGCTGAAACAGAGGGGATTATGGGATGCTACAATGATTTGTTTGGTATTTGGAGCCAAACACTTCAGATACATGTTTTGTATATATCTGAGACCTATAATATATTGTTGAAAAACAGTATAATAGGGGACCTTTAAGGTGACGGGAATCTGTGGCGCAGTGGAATAGTGCGTTGGTGTTCGGATCAGGGAAGCACAGGTTCAAACCCCACTGCAGTTAGCATGTCGTTGTGTTCCTGGACAAGACACTTTACCCTAAATTGCTCCTGTGGGGACAGTATTGAGTATGTAAGTCGCTTTGGATAAAAGCGTCTAACATGTAATAATAATATATATTTTTTTTATTTATTTAAGATGCGTTTTTAGGCCTTTTTTGAAAGCCTCCACAGTCTGTGGTGTCCTCAGCTGGTTTGGGAGGGCATTCCACAGTCTCGGAGCAGCGGAGCAGAAGGCTCGGTCTCCCATGGTCTTCAGTTTTGTCCTTGGTGGGATGAGGAGGTTTGCCTTTACTGAACGTAGGTTCCTCGTGGAGGTTTGTGGGGTGAGCAATTCCTTGATGTAGGAGGGAGCATTTCCATATATGCACTGATGAGTGAAGAGGGTGATTTTGTAGTCAATCCTGAGTGAGACAGGGAGCCAGTGCAGTGATTTGAGGATCGGTGTGATGTGTTCGTACTTCCGCACTCTCATCAGGATCCTAGCAGCGGTGTTTTGGATGTATTGCACCTTCTGGATGTTCTTGCTAGGAATCCCAATGAGAAGTGCGTTACAGTAGTCCAGCCTGGAGGAAACAAAGGCGTGGACAAGCTTTTCAGCATCTGGCAGACTGAGTGTGGGGCGGAGTTTCGCAATATTTCTCAGGTGGTAGAAAGAGGTCTTGCATATTTGCTTGATGTGGGCCTCAAAGGTCAGGTGAGGATCCATTTTAACTCCCAGATTGGTAACCGTAGGTGAGAGTGGAATGTTCTGACCGGAGAAGGTGATGCTGGTGATGGCGGATGAACGGACCTGATGTGGAGTGCCAATAAGAATGGCTTCAGTCTTGGAGCTGTTTAGCTGGAGAAAGTCCATCCACACCTTTATCTCCTCCAGGCATGTGGTTATTGTGGATGATAGCAGAGGTGCAGAGGGGGTTAGGTTTGCTCTGATGTAGAGCTGTGTGTCATCAGCATAGCAATGGAAAGATATTCCATGCCGGCTGATGACACGACCAAGGGGGGATATGTATATGGTGAAAAGGGTGGGGCCGAGGACTGATCCTTGGGGGACACCGCAAGTCACAGAGTGAGTTCTTGATTTAGCCGCTCTCAAGGTGACGTGCTCAGTCCTCCCGGTGAGATAGGAGGTGAACCAGTTTAAGGCAGAGTCAGAGAGTCCAATTGTAGTGTGAAGACGGTGGAGTAGGATGTCATGGTCGACGGTATAAAATGCTGCAGTTAGATCCAGGAGGATGAGGAGAGATGGAGATCCGGTGTCAGCTGTCATCAGCAGGTCATTGGTCACCCTGACTAAGGCAGTTTCTGTACTGTGGCCCTGGCGAAAACCAGACTGGAATTTGTGTGGAACAGTGTTAGATGTTCCTGGATCTGAATGGCAACTACTTTCTCCAGTACCTTGGATAGGAATGGCAGGTTGGAGATGGGTCTGTAATTGGCTAGGACTTCAGGGTCTCAAGTTTTTTGAGGAGTGGTTTGATGACAGCAGCTTTTAATGGTGGTGGAACATGACCACACTGGATGGACTGGTTTATCACTGAAGTGATCAGCGGACTTATGGCACCAATGTTCGATTTAACCAAAGCTGTGGGAAAGGGGTCCAGGGCACAGGTGGATGGTTTCATCTTTTTGATGATGGCCTCAACTTCATGCTGCGAGATGTTAGTGAAGCAGCAAAGAGGCTGGGTCGGTCCAGGCTGGGGGTTGATGGTCAGGACTAGCAGAGCAGCGGAATTTGAGAGGAGAGAGCGGATGGTCTCTACCTTTTTCCTGAAAAATGTGATGAAATTATCACACTGCTCCTCTGTGGTGTCTTTGTGTAGCGGAGTCTGAGGTTTGAGGAGATGGTTTATGGTGGAAAAAAGTAGCTTGGAGTTGCCAGGGCTATTGTTGATTAAAAATCCACAGATTCATTTACTGATGTAGGAGTTATTGTGGAGAGATGCTGGAGATCCAAGGTCATGGTGTCCGGGTTGATGTTTTTCAGATTTCTGAAACGGATTTGACGCTTGGGTTTGGTGTGGGGTAGCAGCAGTGGCAGCTCCATTGAGATGGCCTTGTGATCCGACACACCTAGATCGTAAACTGATAGTTTACTAATGGGGGCAGAGTTTGTGATTACAAGGTACAGTGTGTGTCCCCTAGTGTGTGTGGGGACATCAACATATTGTGTTAGGTTTAGGCAGTCCAGAAGGTGTAGGAACTCGGCTGCATAGTGACAGGAGGGGGTGTCAACGTGAATATTGATGTCTCCTAGTATTATAATGTTGGCAGAGGTAGCGCAGAGTGTACTGAGAAGATCGTGGATCTCTGGGATGAAGGCAGAGTTGGGTTTGGGTGGCCGGTAGATGAGAAGTATTGTCAGTGAGAGGGGGGGTTTACATTTAAATCCAAGGCATTCAAATGAGGATAGTACAGGCAGAGGCAGGGTGGACAGTTCCAGTTATTTTCTGTGTATTATTGCTAATCCGCCACTACGACCAGTGCTGCAAGATTTTTCCAGGTAGCTGTAGCCAGGGGGACAGGCTTCATTTAGGGCACAGTAAACCTCTGGCTGTTGCCACGTTTCTGTGAGGCACATAAAGTCTATTCCCTTGTCCATGATGTGGTCTTGTATGAATGCCGATTTGTTTGAAAGGGATTGTGCATTAAATAGTTCTATTTTGACTGTAGATGAAACGCTGGATTTCTGTAGGGTCCGCAGTAAACTGTGATCCACTCCACGTTTTCCGCACAGCTCAGTGTGTAGCAGTCTCGCGGTATTTCCCATGCAATTTACACCGAGAGAGTTAGCGCTGTGATGACGGGTGTAATGTTACCCTTTAAAATGTAAATGCTTGATAATGCTTCATAATAAAGATTATCGCATGGGCAGTAATGTGTCGGCCCAACATGAGCAATAATCACTTTTCTCTCAGGTGAACAACAATTATATTATTGTAGTTTCATTAAGCGTTTACCTGAGGGACCATGTAATCATTGAATAAGAGTTGAATCACAAAAAGGATATTAGTTTAACACATTATTTGTGCAATAGCAGCAAAATGCAAATCTTGTCCTAGAAAGCAGAATATAAAGAGCCTGCTAAGCAGCTGAAAAAGCAAGCATTCATATGAAGCCAAAAATAAAAATGAGAGAGTTCTCTGGTTCTGCTTGTGAGAAGCCGTTGTTCTGTATTAAAAATAGCTCTGCTTTGTAATGTTGGATATTCTGGTTTTCTCTCTCTGCTGAACACTGTGTATATGTGACATGGGAACATGGGCTCGCTTGTCTTTTCAGCCTTTTACACACTCAACAACGACAGTGTCACTTCCTTCAGGTCATACGAACACGCTAACACATATGAACAGACATTGAGAAGGATGAAATATGACGGCAGGTCTGTCTCTGCTGCCCATTCAAATAGTTACAAGAAAACTATAGGTTACTTACGTAACCCCAGTTCTCAGAGTAACATGAAGTGAGATGTCTCACTATGGGATGCGCCTCATCGCGGAACAAACAGAAGCATCAATCTCATTACGCCAATCCTGATTGGCTGGTGATCTTGACGTCAGCGTCAGGGAATTCACCCCCTATAAGTAGCTTGCGCCACGACGCACGCGTCATTCAAAATAAGCACCTCTTCTCGCTTCACCATAGCAAGGAGGGCCGTCTGGTGAGACATCTCACTTCATGTTACTCTGAGAACTGGGGTTACGTAAGTAACCTATAGTTCTCATTCATAACACTCCGTTCGATGTCTCACTATGGGAAATTGTAGCTCCCGTATTGTCAGACGAGCTTATCTCGAAAATCACCAAACCAACCAGAACTTAACAGGTAGAGCTCTGACTCAACCAGGTGCCCAGCACTGCTTGAGTCACACTGGGAGCAGAACGTCCAGCCTGTTAAGAGGCGGACAAAAGTCAGCGGCGAGGACCAGCTCGCCGCTGGACCAATGTCTTGGATGGGAGACATCCTGGACAGAGCCCAGGATGCAGCCAGACCCTGAGTCGAAAGAGCTCGCGGACCCGAGGGTGCCTGCGAACTCTGACTCGTATGGGCCCCAAAGCAATTGCTTCCACAAACCAGTGGGAGAGCCATTGCTTAGTAACAGGCTTGCCCTTATAAGGGTTAGCCCAGGACACAAGGGGTTGGTCATTATGACGAAGCACCCTTGATCTGTCCCTGTACGTGCGTACAGCACGGGCTAGACACGGCAAATCCGGCCGCTGTTCCCCGGAGGAATACAGTGGCGGGGAGGATGCCTCAATGTCAAATGTGGTACCTGAATCAACCGCCTTAAGATAAAGGCAGGGTTGGGCTTCAACCACACTCTGTTTGCCCTGGGGCGAACTGAGTGCATGAAGACTGTACAGATAGTGCATGAGTGCCACTGGC